AAGATGGAATACATGATGGGTAGCTTGATAGGACAAAAATGGATAACTCCAAAGAAGTTTAGAAAAGAAAGGCAAAAGAAAATACATGAGTCTCATCTAGGAGAAGAGACAAGACATAAGAGGTCTAGCTCTACATTGAAAATCTAGAGCTAGAAGTTCACTTGTCTGGCAAAGAATAAATAAAAAGATATCACAGATGATATCAAGATGTCCCTTTTGTTAGGAATTCAGGGAGAACAGAAACAAGCAAATTATTCCTCATGAGTTATTGGGGTAAAAACAGAGCATTTTGCAAAGGTTGCAGCAGGTTTACTTCAATTTTGAGGAACCTATTATTTGAAAGTAGTGGAAAACTATTCAAAGTACCCAGAGATAGCACAACTTGAGAATAAATCTCCATGTTATGTTATTTTACACCTAGAGTTCATCTTTCGAGACATGGAATGCCAGAAGTACTTGCTGCAGATAACAATCCAATCAACAGCAAAGATTTTAAGTGCCTTATAAAAGATTATGGTTTCAAATTCATACCAGGTTCTCCACATTACCATCAAAGCATCAGGTAAACAGAAAAATCTGTAAAGACAGCAACAAGAAGATGCATTGCCACGGACAGCCTAATTGCTGGCCCTAGGTCGGCTTTAGGTCCTCATTCAGTCTAGCTGTACTGATGAGCCCTGATATGGGGCAAAACCGGTCTACAGTCGACTGTTTCAGGTGTCAGTGGCTTTCGTTTCTTCACACTAACAAGAAGATAGATCACTCTATTTCCTTGATTTAATACAGAAACACACCAGTACTAAGGCAATCTTCTGGCAAGCTGATTTTGACCAATTGAAGATTTCCACAGAGATTACTTTTGCAAATCATTCCCAAAATTTTTGCAAAATTTCCTAGTCAAATCTCAGCAAAAGGTCAAATCCCTCAGGTCCACCAGGCTGAAAGACCAGCCTTAAATCAAACAGTGAAAATTATTAAGATTGTAATTTGGCTAAAAATAACAAAATAAACTGGCAACAGAAGGCTGAGCATTGTTTTAGAAACAAATTCAATAGTATGTAAATTTTGGGGACATTAATAACTGCTTGATTCCAGCCTGGACTCTAGACATCCAATGAAATGAATGGGTACGGTCAGAAATAGTACTCCAATACTTAAAAATCATCTTGCAAATGCTTTCAACATAACATGCTAAAAAAATTTATGAAAGTCTCACAAAGCCTTGAGACTGTCCAATATAATAAATTGTTAAACCTTTCAATTTTTAAAAAGTGACTTTTTCAATTTTCAAATTAAAAGTGTTGCCAAAGATAACCATTTATAACTTCACAAAACTGGTTAAAATTTCAAGGGCCAGTTCTCTCACAACGCTGTCGGCATTAGGTACCTACTGATTTTTCAAACCTGTGCAATATCTTTGCTTACTAAGTGTACATGAAGCAGGTTTCGCACAAATTACAGCTAAAGATACAGATAAGGAGTAAATAAAAATGCAACGAATCTTACCGTTTCGAAGAAATATCTTCAAGCTGATAATCCCTGCACCATTCTTCTATATTACTTGCAATCGAAATCGCCATAATGCCACGCATTGATGCCTCTGTGCTGCCGATACCCGCCAAAATTTTTTCTTGTTAGGCAACTGGAATCGAGGCCACGTTTGATTTCCTAGTCTGCGGGTTTTACTCTTCCTATCCAACAAAATATTTTCCCCAGGGGCGCAGTGGGAGTTAACTTTTTGGGGGGGCAAAGCTGAAAATTTTCCGATAAAACTATGATTTTTCCGACAAATTTTTTCTCAATACATTCCTTGAAGATTACCCTTGCTGCATATACTGCAACACTTGATACTACAATATCACGAATGGATCTGGAAATCGTTAACGAATGGATCGTTCGTTATACACCTTCAAGTTCAACAATAGCCTTTATTCTAACAAAACTTACCAAATATAAATCGCTATGAACAAAACTGCAACTAGTTATAAATTTACACCCTACAAGTCTTCTCGCTATACTAGACAATAAACTGTCAAGTTAGTATTTATAGCTGTTTATAGCAAAAAGTTTTTGGCAAGTTTTAAGTCGCATCATAATTACTTTGCATTTATTTATGCTAAACCTTAAATAGATATAACGCGTCCAAAAGAATAGTTTTCTTTTAACTGAATTTATATAAACTGTTACTCAAGCAGCATCTTTCTCAAAAGAGGTGTGGCAGCATACAAATCGACGATGTCACCATAGTCTATCGACTGTAAAATATCACTTTCGACGTTGATTGGTCATCAGAGAGGAAAGGCGGTCTTGTCCCATCGTTGACCGTAGCCGATTTTTTTACAATCCTCAGCTTTGAAAAAGCTCTTTCATAGTTTGTTGAACCTATTGGCAAAGTGACGAGAACCTTGTAAAGAAGGACCAGCTGTGGAAAAGCACTTTGCAGGTTATACTTATCATCAACTGAAGAACTGAATGGAACTGAAAAGTTTTCTCTTTCTCCTGCAGCCGGGAGAGGGTTGCTCTTTTCTCTAACTTTCCAAAATTTACGGTAATTATTGGCGAAAGAGCTGTACTCATCTCCTAATTTTGAATTACACTGTACAGAACTGCCTTTCAATTGTTTTTTGAAAACATTCAGGGTTGAGTAAGGCAAAATCTGTCAAAATTGCCTTATGAGACGTGAATCTTGTATTCATTGAGCTGATAGCTGTATCTACTATCACGATGATATACGGATTCCCTATTTCCCTCTAATTCATCTATGCAATTTTCCCCTGGCATCTTTTTCTTTCTGCGTATTCGTCGCTCGACAAAATTTTCCTCTTCTAAGTCATGGCGAAAATAATAACTTTTTGCGTCTTCTACAAAACCAGCGAATTCATTTCGAAATGAACTGAGTTGAATTTTAACTGTCGGAAATGGGAGTTTATAAAATAACTGAGACCAGAGCGTTAATTTCCTTTACAAATTTCAGCAATGCGATGATTCCGAAAAATACTCTAATGAAAATAAGTAAGAAGGGTTGATCATGCACTATTTTACGACAGGTTTAAAAAAATATGCGACCTTTTAGACAGGATCGATGAAAACCTTACATTTTGTCTAATATTTCAAATTTTCCGACAAACGTTGGATTTTCCGACAATCCGACAAAATTTTTGCCAGGGGGGGGCGGCTGCCCCCCCTGCCCCCCCAGCCACTGCGCCCCTGATTTTCCCTGTAATTCACCACAATTAATATTATTCGCCTTTAATTCAAAACAATCATTGCTTTCCTTAGGCCGATTTAAGTAAATTTCAAGAAATCTTCTTTTGTATTGGGGTTCAAATTATTGGACGTGTCTCATTTCAAGGACATATAAGATGGGAACCATCATTAGGGCCTACAGCCACCCCAAAGTGTCGTCGGTATTGGCTTTCTTAAGATAATGTAAAATAGAATGATTAGGGAAATAAACATAAATTCATCGTCTCAGTTGTGTTGCATCATCGTATTATACCACTCATTGGTACACCACAAACGGTGATCAGTGTAAGACAAATGAAATCAAGCACCTTTGAAAAATTGCTGAGAGGGTTGTTGAGTGAAAATCATTTTTTCCAAAATTCGGGGCATGTGAGTTTGATCAGAATAACTTGACTGTTGATTTGTGATCAAGCTGGGTTTCATTTCAGGAGATGCTTAGCCTTGCTTACCGAAATAATGAAATTTTTCTACGCTAAGAAATGCTAGCTTTGTTTGTGAAGTTCGTAAATTCTGGAAGCTACATACTACAGCTAACTCTACCCTGGAACAAATTTGAGGGCGAAGTTTTTTTTGCAAGAGATGTATTGTGGTAACTAGGTAAAAAATAAATCAATGACTTATACAATTTCAATTATCCAACAGTTGGCTCTTCATTATAAGTCTCGCATTTTAAGATCAAATTATCATCAATTCCATTTTGCCGGTTACTGTTTAAGTAAATTCGTCACATAGAAAGTTTTCAAATTTCGATGGTGTTTTGAAACTTAAAGGGTGGATAATGACTGTAGACAGAAATAAGACAAATTACCTAGCGTAGGTAGCCCTAAAAGAGCGCAGATCGACTTAGTTAAAGTTTTGTCTGGTCTTAATAAGACATTTCTGGAATATAAAGATCATTTCTGAAAACAGCAAGAAGCGTCTGAAAAGATCAAGAACGGGAAAAATACAACTTTTAACAACTTTAGATTTTTTAAAGCCCCAGATTTTTTCATTGTGAGGAATTATCATTATACTTCATAATCTGTCGTGCTTCTACAGCGATCTTTGAAATTAATCTTTTTGTGGACATATCCCGTACTATTTTATGGCTACTGCAGTATTATCTTCACGCGCCACAGTTTAGAATACACCATGATCACCCAGAATCAAGTTCTGTTACATGCTATCATCTCCAATACTTCACACATAAATGCTAGGTCTAGATTCTACACAGAAGCCAAAATTTCACAGACAACAAAATAAAAATCAAGTTCATCTTGAAAAAATGTATTTCAAGCCTATGTATGACAGTGAACTTCAAGCTACGATCAGTAAATCAAAATTTGTGGTATGAATAGCAGATGAAACAAAATAGATACCACGCAATTTTTAACAGTTTAATTTGAAAAATTTGCTAAATGTATAATTCTTTCTTTTCCTTTTCTGTTTTTCTGTCTTATTAGTCTTAAATTCATAACTAATTATGATCGCAAAAATCTTTACCAGGTTAAGTCTGATGTCGTGTTTTTTTGTCCTATATAGGATGAGTGCTACTCTACTAGGCAACTCTGTCAACTTTGAAGGATTTTGAAAGTTTTGAGGTTTACAATGAAACAAGACAATTAGAAAAAATTGAACGTCTATCCTTCATCGAATCATAAAGGCGTAATCAATTATTTAGATTACAAATTGTTCAATTTTACAGCATTCCTGAAGCTGCCACTTAGATAAAACAAAGTGTTGCAGAAATGAAAGACATAAAAGTATAGACCAGATACATATAATCAAATCTTTTATGGAATAGCAGAACAAAGACGTACATATGTGCAAACTTTCGTACAAACAATTACATACAAAGCATATCAACTTTGTTGAGCAGCAAACAAATCTTGTTGGGACTGTCGAAAATGCACAGACATAAAATCTACATAATAAAATGGGAATTTTACGTAACAATTAGGTTCTACGAATACTGACTAAAATGTAGACCACAGTAAGAGTAAATATATTCTAAAAATTCAAATTGAAAAGAAATTAAGACGAAGAGCAGAGAAGCAGGTAATAAAGAGTTTGATAGCTACTTTAAATAATAGATTGTAATTATATTTTGACTGTGTGGTTTTTTAGGCAAAAGGCCACTTAATTAGTGACAATCGAGAGCTTCAGTTAACTGTCAATAAACCTAGGAAGTCTTATCGTATATTTCCTTTCAACGTACATTATCTGCTGCTAAGGCCGTTTTTGGACAGAAAAAGCTTTTCAAATTAACAAAAATGTATGGAATAACAGAGACATCTCTTTGAAGGCCATACGAGTTAGTGTTAAAGTAGCGAAATCCTTCGCATTTTTTGATACAAATGAACGTCATATTCTCAAAAGTGAAAAACAATAAGAAAACACGGAATGGTTTTGGTAACAGGCCGTTAAACTTGATAGCACTCATTCCAGGTACGAGATGCGAAGCCCAAAACAACTAGGAAAATTGCACATATGACTGATACTCTCAACTCTTTTGATTGCTCGAACAACGTCTGGGCTTTCTTGAACAGCTCCTAGCCTTGAACAACAAACTGTTGTCGTATTGCAATATAGGTTTCATATGCTCTTTTGAAAGGCAAGAACTGCCGAAAAATGATAGTGTGAAAAACCTACATGGAATCAGTAAAAATAGGTACTGAATATAAAAGTACTGAAATTAACATAAATACCTCATACAATAATGCTTCTTTAACCAATTGAGAAATCATGAAAATTTGTATCAAAATGACATTGATTACAGAGTAACAACGATCTATCTCAAATGCAAATAAGATGCGAAAAAAATAGTTCAAACGGTCATAAATTTGTTGCAGAGACACCTGATAATGCATCGTTTCTTTCTTTTGTATCAAAATACCAGACAGATATAGCGAATCTTTCACGATAACTTGGAAGTACTTCATGTGGCGTCCTATTGTCAGACCAAAATACAATTAATCGTCCAAACACGGGTTCTATTTCGTAAAAGGACGATCCATCTGGTTTGTAAATTCTGAGAACGCCACCATCACGCGTCGCGTCATAGTTTTCATTCAAATATAAAATAGTTGTTAACTTTCTTCCATCTTTATATGGGTTATCGACATGTCTTTTGTAGCGTGTCCCTTGTCCAGGGTAACAAGCAACCATTACGCTGGACCTGCTACGAATATTGCACCCTACAAGTTTCTGGTCACTACTCATCATTGCAATCAGTTCGTCCGTTCGACGCACTGCTGACATCAAGGATTTCATTTCCGGGTACGTTGTAGAATCTACCCAGGTGACAAGGTCCCCACGAACTTCTTTGTTAGCTTGAGCGGGGTGTCCAGAATTTTTATTTATGCTAGTGAGCTGACCGGGCTGAAAGGAGGTTGTTTCTTCATAAAGTTTACGAACTTCTTCCATGACTTGACCGAGTAGCCTTTCTTCGACGAAGTTATCAACAACAGAAAAGTTGCGATTTTCTAGATCTAATAACATCATGTCACTAAGTTCTTGTAAAGACACAAGGTTTACTCTGTCAATAACTGGGAACGTGGATGGTCTTTGACTGTCAATAAATGGCGCTGCCTGAGTTAAATCGACCTGATTGGGATTTACTGTCCTGGTTCCACTCATAGGCGATCTTTCCATTTCAACTTGTGCCATATCTAGTTCCTTCAGCTTTTGTTGGATGATACACTGCTCTCTAAAATAAACGATTAAGCTCAAAAGAAGCAAACAGTTGAAAAATAACCTACACCAGACAAATTTTGAAATAAGGAAGAGAAAATATGGAGCATTTCCCGTTGGAGCTTTAGTGAGCTGTTTCAAAACTCTGCATGACTAGGATGGGTGCCCTCTTAAAAAGTTAGGAAAGCGACTTTGCCTCAAAGCCACACCTAGGACTACACCCTGTATTCTTGCATTTGTGCTAAAGATTCTGTGTTGTGCATACGAAATCTTTCAAACTGTTCACTGACTCTAAAAAGGCCAATACAAACTGCATATTTATAGGAAATTACCAGCATTATAAAGGGTCAACTGAGATTGCCAAGGAAGGAATTCGCCCAACCAAACATGTACTGGCTGCCTTGGGGAGGGGGGGGGGGCTGAGTCTCTAAAAGCCACTCCCCTGCAGCATATCTAGTGGCATACGTCCAACCTTCAAAGGAAATTCGAAACAAATTTTTGCCGAAAAAGGTAAAAGAATGTAAAAATTAGTTTCAAAAGATATCTTCAAGTAATAATTTTTGTGGATATAAATTCTTCTTTTCAAATATTTGTCATTGTTGAAATATTCAATATCCCACTGGCAAGAACATAAAATGTTAAACATCTCCTAAATCAAGAGGACCATTCAATGATGATCTGAGTGTTCAAAAGTTCTTTCTGACCTCTGGGTTGAAATTTTAGCCACAAGAATGATGTCAAGACTTCCTTCAAGAAATACGATTCAAACAGAAAATGACCTTTGGGTGTTCTAGTAAGTAGTGAAAGAGTAAAATATTTGTGAAGCAAAATAACTTTCTTCATTTTTTCAACACAAGCTGCAAACAAAGTAAATAATGCAGATTTAGGAAATATACAAGTTGGAAGTCATTTTCTTCAGGCTTTTAACCATAAAAACACATATTCCGAATATTTGTAATAGCACTGATGCAAAAAATGACATAATATAACAATCTGAACAGGCCATTATTGCACAAAATTTACAGACTCTTCCTGGATTGTCCATGCTTTTGCCAAAACTTGTCATTTTTAAGGTTTTCCAGACTTTGAGTTCTTTATTTCTAATTAGTTTGTTATGTTAGGGAAAGGCTCATGGGCCTATAGCTACGATACAGCTTCTGAAGTTGCTCACAAATTTGGAAAATATAACAGCACAATATTTATGATAGTGAAATGTTTCTTTAACAATCTATGGCATAGTTAGAAACAGGCTTGATTTTCTGATAGTATACTGTTCAATGACAATTCTCTTTCTGACCTTGCTTTGAAACATACAATATAAAGATATTAACTGATGCATATGTTTTTTCTATCATATCACTCAACATAAAAACCCTGCTATCCAGTTAAAATTGTAGTTGAAAATTTGCAAAGGTGACATATTTGGAATGAGTGAATTAAAAAAACCAAATAATTCAAAATTTATGATGAAATGTTATATGCCCTGTAGTTCATTGGTTGCAAAAACAAACAAAGTAATAGCAAAGCCCTCCAGTGGCCTCGCATGTCTTAGTAATCAGGTTCAAATTATGATCATTCTGTAGTACCTTCAGAAGGATGACAGGTGACAAGGATAGGTAACAAGTTCCTATTTAAAAAAAAGTCTCTAATAAAGTAGAAGCAATCAGATCACTCCCTGGCAACCCTTTACATGACCAAAATAATAAAAGTTGGGCTAAAAATTAATTTTTCTCCTTTTAGAACCAGTAGACAAAATTTCATATTTCTAATGGATAATCAAATAAGTTTTTGGTACCACAAAACTTGGAAGTTGCACAAAATACTAAAAACATAGCTTTCTAAAAAATGAAACTGAAAACAAAGCATACTGATAGCATACAAAAATGACACTCTTCAGAGTATAGGCATAGGATGATGACCGAACCGAAACTAAAAATTGTGATTTTCAATTGTCATAATACAATTTTGGAATTTTCAATGTCATGTGAGTGCAATGATTAACTGAGGGAGCAAATAATAATAGACTCTTCTTTTGGAGTTAAGTAATTTGAGATAGAAAATGAATGAATAGACAAGGGGTGGAATGATGTGAGAATTCAGTGAGAGAACTTTGGTAAAATGACAGGCCATTCTACAGAATATGATACTTCCTGATAACTGCATATGCCAGTCACTTCAGCATTTCATGCCCTATAAATTGACCGATGACACTGATGTTAAGTTTCTTTTTTAGTAGGCAATCAGTATATCAGTAGAAAGATATATATACCATTTTTTACTAATCACGTGGCATCCAACCAAGGTTTCCCCCTCCCTTGTCTAATCTTGTGCATGTGTTCATCATCCAGCATACATGGAACTGTGGCTTGCATTGGCTTACTGTTGCCATGAATCTTGGCAGATAATAATGGACATAAATATCAATGACATTATTCATTGCATGACACATTTCTGGTGTGAGAATGGCTCCGAGGTTAGGGTCACTGACTACAGACACATGGGTTTGAGTCCCTGACGTGGCAAAACTCTTTCTCTCAGAGTGAGGAGAGTCTCCACCTATCAGTAACTCCAGGTGCATGAATCACAAGGTGTGGTCAAATCAAGAGGAGGGACCAGGACACTACTTGATTAGCATAGCTTTTCAGTGTCCTAGAACTTCCTTCAGAAGCTAAGTAGTATACAATGCAATAAAATACTTCTGTAATTTCAAAAAAACCCCCACCCCCCCCCCTTGCAAGGGAAGACACTATAATGAACATGGAAGGCTTGCAGATAGAAAAAAGTTTATTTTCACTGGTGAGTGAATTTGTAATCTCCAATATTTGCTTGTTTTTGTTCAGCCAATTTGAACCTTTTTCTAACTACTTAGGAGGTTTGTTAGAGATATCTTTATAGGATCATTGGATGGAAAGTTGGAACCATAAAAATAATTAATAATGCAGCAAAAAATTATCTTTAATCAAGATATTTTGTTTTTTATATTTTTTAAATTAAGATATTTGGTGTTGACCATGCATAGTCACCCACCCATAGGAGCTACGCAATACTTTCCTGAGAAAAAAGGTTGCTTTTGGGTGAAAAGGATGGCACCCCTGCTTCAAATTAGCTTTTTATTTCTTACAACAACATAACGTTTCAACCGAGAGAACAAACGATTTATGGCATCGTATTTTTTATCATCAATTTGAATTGAAATTACGGAACTGAAAACCATCGAATCTAATTCATATGATAACATGAAAGCAAATACACAACTCTCTCTTTACTACTTTTGCACCTTTAGAAATACTGTTTAACTTTTCAAACCTGTGTTGTCGTCTCCAGTCTTCGATTTGGTGCGACTTGCTGCAATAATAAGCAACTTGACAGGAAGAACATCGAAACTTCGATTCATTGCCACAAACGCAACAATAATGTGTTGACGAAGGCGTGGGTCCCAACACGTTCATTTTTCTCCTGCTATCCTAAGTGAAGCAACGTTTAGATTCCTCACATGTTTTACCAAGAGTATATCATTATGTAATTCATGATATGCAGGGAATGCCGGTAAGGGCATCCCCGCTCAATGTCGCCTTGGTATTCTGTTAGGCCGGCACTTCTGGTATTCTTCTTCACGTGCAGTTGTCATGCGCGTTATTCAAATTTTGTAAATGTAACTTAGCCTGTGCGCTGTCCTTTGGGTCAGCTGTGAAGGAGCAAGTCATTTCCAAGGAGTTCTTGCGGCAAAAAAAGGATAAAAATGTACCAAATAAGAAACACCGCAATGCAACGAGAGTGAACAACAATAATTACACGCAAATTAGTGAAGGCTGTACCAACTTATTTACGTGTATCTATTGTTGCTCATTCTCGTCGCATTGCGGTGTTTCTTGTTTGCTACATTCTCCCTAGCCTGTACTCCAGACGCCTAACTTTCAAGTTAGGGGTCTGAGACACAGGCTACATTCTCCCATTATTGTTTGGAAACCAAAGATGTTTACAGGGCCCAAGCCATGAAGTTGAAAGTGGGGGGGGCAAGGCTATCAAATGCAGGGGGCCGAACTAATTTCCCCTTTTAATGCAGCTTTAAAACTACTTGCTTCGCAAAAAAGTGGGGGTCATGGCCACCCCCCCCCCCGGTGGCGTGGCTCTGGATTTTGCAAACTATACTGCACAGATTGATCAAATAATCAGCGGCATGGTTTGCACAGATATAAAGATTAGGTGTTATTTCACCTACCGGTAGGCGTCCTTACTGACAAACTAAAGATTTTAGGGACCAACTGAACATTTGCCGATCAACTCATGAAGAACTAGGGATACTACATCCCTTCCCCTTCGCTAGTTACGCCCCTGAAAATATTTCGAGGATTCACCGTAGTAGAAGTAAGAGAACGTATTTCACAGTTTGGTGATACATGGAGGGGGGGGGGGCAAAAACCCAATATTGCCTTGTATCATATCATTGCATTGCATTGCATTGCATTGCATTGCATTGCATTGCATTGCATTGTATAGATTATTTAATGTTAGTTTTTACAATAGTGAAAACATGCTAATTAGGACTAACGTAAAGCAATTTCAACGATTTCATAAGACGCATTTCTTTTAAGGAACCACGTCTTGATCAATTTCTTGAATTTTCTAGTATTTCTTTCTTTATCTATTTTGGGAGTGTATTCCAGATTTTAGGCCCTTGGAAACTTAATGATCTGATACCATTGTTGGTCGTTCTGGCTTTTGGAATGTCAAAGGGTTTTGAGTCGAAGGCTGTGACCTGTTGTTTTGGGTACAAAATAGTTTTCATGAAAATAGGATTAACGTTGTTTAGTGTTTTATCATCTTCAAGCGCTATAATTCTAACTGATTGGATATGTATGGTGGCTTCTTTTGACTTAGCAAGTAATTCTTTATAAGTAATTTTTTCATCGATCTGAACACCAAGCAAAGTAACGGGTTTTCTCTATTTTAATTGCAAATTTTTTGTCATTATGCATCTATATTTGCTGTCGATTGTGATAGCTTGAAGTTTAGAGGGATTTGCAATAATTTCATTTGATTTAAACCAATCAAGACCTTTTTAGTGTTAATTCTTACAAGTTGCAATAGTTCATCAATATTTTTTGCAGTGACAGATATCGTGTTGTCATCAGCAAAATTGCATGAAAATCCTTCACTAAGGCTTTAAAAAATATGGTTTAAAAAATATTGAAAAGTAGAGGTCCGAGTATTGATCCCTGTGGCACTCCTTGTCCAAGTTTACCCCAGGAGCTGTAATGACCTTGCACTTTGACTCTTTGCTTTCTATTAGACAAATAGTTCTGTATACGTAAAAGAGAATTTCTATCTACACCCCATAGGCAGTTTGCTAAAAGTTGGTTTTTTGGTAGACAGTCAAAGGATTTTGATAAATCCATGAGGACAGCACCAATAAGTTTGTTTCTTTACAGCTCTGTTTTTCATTCTTCGAACACTTTTCTTCAAGAAATGGAGAAGGTTTAAACTCTATTGCTTTTTCAAATACCTTAGAAAGTATTGTGAGTAGACTTATTGTTCTATAATTTTCCTTATTAGTCTATATTTCTATAATGTCTGGAAGATCGAATGAACGAGCAAGGTGTTAGTAACTTAGAAACAAAATCCTAATAAGAATGTCTTTAACAACAGAAAGTTATAAGCCTGCAAGGAAACCTAAACAGACTTTGTGAATGGGCAGACAAGTGGCAAATGGTTTCCAACCCTGAAAAATGTTATGTCCTTTGTATCCACCGGAAACAATTGCCTGTAATTTATGACTATTCGATAAAAGGAAACATATTAAAGCATGTTGAAAAGCATCAGGATCTCGAAGTGACTATAGCAAGTGATCTAAATTGGAAACATCATATAGAAAGCATAGTTGGTAAAGCCAATAAAACATTGGGTTTTATAATGCGAAATTTTAAACACTGTTCACAAGAGATTAAAATTCAAGCTCACATAACAATTGAACGCCCCATATTGGAATGTTCATCCACGGTATGGGACCCCTACACGATTAATCAAGTCGAATCGATAAAAAAAGCTCAAAGAAGAGCTGTAAGATTTGAAGAACGAACTTCAAGAAACGTGAGTCAGGCTGCATGTCTGCCAAATTGAAAGAAATGAACTTACCTTCGCTCAAGGGGAGGAGAGAGCAATCGCGGTTGGCATTATTCAGGGATATTGTTCAAAATAATTCTGCTATAAAACTTCCAAGTTATATAGTGAAAAGGACGAGGAATACAAGACATAACAATACTGACTTCTCTAGCTTCAATACTGACATATGCAATGTAGGACTGAATCATATAGAAATAATTTTTTTTGCGAGAACGATAAGGGATTCCTTCAAATTAGAACAAAGCTTTAGCAATTAGTAATTAGAGAATATATTTTAGAGACTTGTAAATAGGGCTTTAGGTTTTCTATTGGTTAACTTTACTTTTAAGTCAATTACCCCTTTGCAGTTATGCCAGTTGGTTTTGCGAAGTATTAGCATAGATATAGATATAGATAGATATAAATTTAGATAATTCCAACGGCTTTGGATAATTAAATATTTACTTACTTTATGCTTGATTTCCAGTTAAGTCTGTCATTTACTAGAACTTAAACATATTTAACACATTATTGTTGTTCAAGCCTTCCATCATTAGGTTCAATTTTGTGGTGTTGCTCGTTCTTTATGAGTTTATAAACCATGTCGAGTATAAAAATATCACTCTTCTCTTACTTCTGCAGCAAAGTGGTAGACGGAGCATCAAAAACACTACTTGCTGTTATTCTGACAGCTTTATTTTACAATTTCAATAGGCAAAGAAGTTGTCTCAAAGAAGGAGAACTCTTAGGAATTAATAAAAAAGATCTGATATTGGAGGTGAATAAAAGCGTCCACATTAGGTACAAAAAATTTTGGTGAGATTTATTTTGGGTGAAGCTGGGCAACCGAAAATTAATCCCGTCGAAATTTTTTGATACCAAAATTTTTTTTACCAAAATTTTCCAATCCTAGAAAAAACCTCGTTTTATCTCAATGGACTTTCAAAATAACAAAACAATTTTCCTTGATATTGTTTGAAAATTGTTATACATCAAATAAATATCAACATTCAATTTCTGGTTCTTCTTCGCAATCAACAAAAAGATTCCCAGCTCATCTTCACTTTCTTCTTTATGGCCCTCTAAATCCAGTAGTTTTTTTTGACAGAACTGGTGCATCTATTTGCTCTTTATAGTTTCCCCGAATATTTTTTCTAACGTTCCAGAGATTGCAGTAGAGTACCAAAGAATAAATTCATCAAAATCTATTTGAAGCATTTATTAATTTTGACCACATAATGTAAAAGAACGGCATACACAAATATGTTTAAAATTGAACGAAGTTAGATATGTTCAAAATTTGGCGAGATATGGCCAATGAAAGATTTCAAGTTTGGTAACGAATTACTGTTATTTTGGCCTGGCTCATAAAGTTTGAACGAAAACCAAATTACAGAGGTTTGGTAGGGAAAGATTTTGTGCTTATGTGGTCATATGTCAACACGTCACTCACATGGCAAATTTGCAACACGTGCAACCGATTTTGCATGCTTAGATGTATTTCTTAATACTCTTTTAGGATACATGGTCAACGTTGAAAAATTCTACTCTATACCTACGCCTTAATTGTTAACTATAATTCCTTTGTTGTGATTGACGATCAAAAATATTGCCAGCTGTAAACGCTCCCAATTAATTTTTCTCCATGAGTTACAATAAATAAAATAAAAAAATTAAATTTGGTTCCAATTATTGGGCTGCTAAAAATGGGCCTTCGCGAGCGTGGCGACGGTCCAAACAATGGCAGTAATTTTCTACGGATTGACCAAAATTGATTTTAGACAGTCTAAAAATGCATTATGGGATGCCTACGTAGCGCAATGGCTCATTGTTAGCAATGAGACTTTGAGAACAAATTTAGCTAAGGCTGAACTTCTGTAACATATGACTTTGAAAAATGTTTTATCTCAAAAACGAGGAGTTTTTTAGCCATCTATGGGTGCTTTTCCAAACTCGTCGCCAAATAAAGGATGTCTCATTCACTTTGTTGTCAAACGAGACCTGAACACCCTCCTAGAGAGCAATAGCTAGCAACTGCACTGATTGCACCCTTATAATTTAAGAGCAAATTAGGAACAATCAAACTCCAGAACAATCACGCTTAATAACCTATAAAAATGTTTACAATACAATTACCATCTACAAAAAAATAAAAATTATCTTTATAGTATCGTTTTTAGCTACAGTTCAATATAAGAAAACAGTAAAGCAAATCAACTGACAGAAAAATTTGCCCTGGCAAAATCACCTTTGCCTGCAAGAGGGCCCTGTTCCTGTTTCCATGGTTGAAGGGGGGTTAACCAATCCTCTCCCCATACACCCCCTTCAAGTGATTCTCCTGCAGCCTGAATTTTTATTTGCTGATTCTTATAAAAGAGAGTTTAATCTACTGCTCCTTGCTGTCATAGCTCATTGAATGGAATCTACCCGTCACTTTGATTAGGTTTATTTCATTCAATGATTCCACAGCTCGTATTCCGGAATTGATAGCCGGATTACCTCATATACTTATAGTTGATTCCTAAAACCCAGTTTAACTATCAAAGAATTTAGATAAATCCTCTAATTGTATTGTAAACTGTTCCGATAAAATCTGCATATTTTAAAAGAAACTTCAAATCCAACAAAATGTATTGCTCTATGTTAAAAGAAAATTAGAATAGCAGGAGCTAATTTCATCAAAGAACGCAATGAGTGGCAAAAATATTTTTAGAGCACATTACTAGAAATGTCATTAGCGTGCACTGGAAATGTGAGATTGTTTCATATGAAGGACAGAGCAAAGTGGTGACCTAACACCAAGTTCTGAAAATTGATCCACGAAAAAGAACCAAGCAGCTGTGTACTTTGTTTGTATGAACAGTGAGGCTGGCTGCTAGAATGGATTCAACAATCAATGTTATAACACGACTAACAGTAAATGATGGTTGCTGGGAAATAATTGGCTCGCTTAGCGACCTGGCTCGATTTTGCCGACCTGGCTCGCTTAGCCAAGCTGATTTTCAAGAATCCAAAAATGGTAGCCACATGGCTACTCACAGCGAGGATGGTCGCTACAAACAAGTATGACGCCCTAATAACGCTCCCTGCGTATCCAGTCTCGTGCATATGTAAGCCTGAGCTCATCAGAGATATCTAAAAAGACAAGTTTCTCTAACTTATTAGTGAAATTTCCATACCCTTTTCCATGGGATAGAATACTAAACGAAGATACACTTTGTACATAAAAATTGAACAGAAGTTCCTGCTCTTATTAGAGAAAACGTTTATTCTAATTTATGATTCTTTTTTATAGGTCTACAAGCTTGTCTAGAATGATGATAAGTGAAAAAGAGGCATATTGCGAAGCAAAATTGCCAACATTTCTATTATAAGTTGTAAATGACCTTGTACATGCGAAAGACATTTCTTCATAATGTTGCATGAATCAAATCTAGGCGGTGATCTTTCCAAAAAAGTTTGGGTTCATGAATATGTCAATAGGCAAATTACATGCACACATTTGTTTTTATGTATCAGATGCTGTGATATTGTCATCAAAGAGCAATTTTGGCCTAGACTGGCTTTCAAAAAGCACCTTACTTCAGTAATTTTCAGTAATTACTCATTAATTAGTCAGTAATTACTTAGGCAAGAGCAGAAGGTATAGCAACAGGATTCTCGCTCGTTCTCGAATGCAGCGGTATGGTTCTTCTTATCAATGAAATTTCATGCAAGTTAAGGGACAGAAGAAATTTCAGCCTTAGTGTAGTAATGACGCATGTAGTGAACACAGGGGTTAAATGTACACCCAAATGACAGATCTTGTTATAATTCAAAGACAGTATTTTCCTTCCATACTCTTAAAACCCACGGAGTTTATACTTAGCTATACCTTTGTCAGTTTCTTGACAGCAAGAATGAAATTATATTATGTAGTTTACCCTACAATCTTCTCGTGCAAAGCAACTCTTTGAAAATTGTTTTGTAAGAAACACAACGATGCATGCTTTTGAAAGTATGATGACATTCTTGTAAAAAGAACGACGCATTTTCTCAAAAGTAGAACGAAAACTCTTGAAAATACGATAACACCTAATGGGATGTTGATACCCCCCATGAAATGAAGAATTCCATTTTCGCAGTTGCTGCAACAGTCGCTTCAATCCTTATGTTAAAACCCTTTTTATCTAATCAAATGTTATGATGGAAAGAACGGAAGTTATAGAAAAGAGATATTATAATGATAACATTTACTCGTATAGCATGGTCTGGTAGTGGTAGGGAGTATAAAATATATTTGATGATAATTTATTGATTGACTCATAATGTGTATTTTCGAAGTTACAATGACGCGCTTTGATATTGATAAGACAACGCATTTTGACTTACTCAAAAACATATATTGTTGGAAATTCGATGACTCTTCTTGCTAAAAATACAACAAGGCGTGTTGCTGTAGGTAAGTGTTGTTATTCGAGAAGCTTGCAACTTATTAACTGCGATACAAAACTTAGAACTCTACGTGACGCACAATAAGCAGTCCTATTACAGCGATTTTAAAAACTTTCTAGAAGCTTCTACTCGATCCTTAGTTAGCTAACAATAAAACAGCAAGCAATCTACTCTCTCTATGCGTCCTTGGCTGCACTACTAATCATAAAGTCATTAGTTTACCTACATAATCAGCAATTAGCAAAATTGTTGAGTGGACGTTCCCAACACTCCCACTCAATCAACAGTTTCTTTTCCGGTTTTATTGTATTCAAAGTTTAGAGCTTAGGCACTCAAATTAACCTCTATTAAATGTTTTAGTAAGTAAATCAGCTAGCATTTCCTTTATGTGGCAATACGTCAGTTAACATCAGGTACCATCTTCTATCAGAAGGTTAGCTACCATGACCCTCCAACTATCCCAAAATCTGAGTTTTGAGCAGAGTCATTTTCTCGACTTGCCCTCGAATAAAATGATACCTTATATCAATATGTTTCGTCCGTTTATGCCTGATTGGATTATTTTGCCATTGAAATTTATCCTTGGTTGTCTTCCATGATGGTTATAGGTTGCACGTTGTCTCCTCTTTCTCCAAGCAGTTGCTTCAACCATACGACCACTTGAGCAGCTGTACTCAAGACAATGTACTCTGTCCCAGCGGTTGAAAGAGCGACTGTTGACTGTTTTCGACTGAGCCAGCTTATCACACCTCCAGCAATCATCAAGGCATTTCTAATGGTTGAGTTGCGATTCTGCATATCGTCAGTCCAACTAGCATCACCAAATCTCGTGCTTCTTGTTTTTCTGATCTCTTGTAAAATAGCGAAATATTGAATGCTGGGGCCAAGGCAAGAATAAAGGCTGCCCCCATCTTTCATTTTGAAATCGCATATGAGGATTGCTTTTCTTTGTTCCATTTCTTCGAGAGTAGTAGATATTATGATTAAATCATCTACGTAAACAGCAATGATTGTCAGATTGTTTCTTTCAAGAGATCCTTTCACAAAGACATACGAATCTGCTTGAAATTTAGTGATTGCAGTGCGTCACTGAATGCTCGATTCCAGCATTGTGGTGAATGCTCGAGTCCATAAAGGGATTTGTTGAGTCTGCAGACCAGGTCCCCTTTTTTTCAGGTATCACGTAACCCTCTGGTTGCTCTATATACACCCCTTCCACTATATCTTTCTTCAGAAAAGCCGTAATTACATCTATTTGATGATCAGCATTCTAATGATCTTGAACTGCAAACGCTAATAAGGTTCAAACAGAACTGAACCGCACAATAGGAGAAAAAGTTTCATCAAAGTCGATGCCGTACTTCTGAGAATACTATTTTGCTACTGAACAATCTTTGAACGTTCCACTTATCCATTTTCGTCATATTCTACTTTGAAGACCCACTTGGACCCGAAATTTCGTTCGCTATGAGTGACTGATACTCTGAATCCGTAGCTACCTTTCACTGTGCGGAATGTTCATTATTGAAAGCTTCTTGAAAGGTAGGTAGCTGGTTCTTCAATTGTTGCTGGAAACACGATATGTCTTGCTTCTGTGATGTCAGCATACTAATCTAGGCCAAATCGAGCTGGTGGTACCCATTTTGTGGATCTTTGAGATCGTCGAGGATGGCTTTCTTCTGCATCCGTGTCTTTTTTTGAAGGCTTTGTTTGTCGTTTTTCTTCCTTTCTTGTTTCTGGACCCATCTTCAAATACTGCTTTTGAGATCCAAAATCAGTTTCATTGAAGTTTACCTCTCTTCTAGTCACTACCTTCCTTTTCTGCATATTAAAAAGTCAGTATTCTTTCAGATTTGTGCTGTAGCCCA